TTTATTACGTATGCACCATTGGCTTGTAGGTTCTTCCACTCTGCCAGATTAGTTATGTTGTTAAATGATCTGTGTCTGTAGATATTGTCACGTATCTGAGGTATGCGTGACTTATAGACGGATTACTTGCACAACATTGTCCCTGTACTGCGTTTTCCGTTGCCTCTGGCCGACCGTCAGTCCTTTATGACCGCGTCCCTTAGGCCACGTCACTCCTGCACGGCGGGTCGTCCCTCTGTGGGCGGCTGCCAATTTCTTCCTGAACCCACCATTGTCCTGCGTCCGTTTCTCCGGCTTCCGGCGGCGCCCTACTGCTAGATGCCGATCCCCATGTCTCTTTTTCAGTGCCCCAAAAGTTTCCATATGGATCGCCTCACGCACTGCTGCGGACTTCTGCTCTCCTGAATTTGCCTCCGTCTTTTCTAGACAGGCATCCAACATGGACTTCGTCTCTTCCCGGTTGGCATCAATCCGGGAGGCGAAGGAACCCACCTGGGCTTTCATAACCTCGAATGAAATCATTTATGGCATATATACGTGTGAATTGCCTACGGAAGAACGTGGTCGTATAATTTTTAAAGTGAAAAACTTTGAAAGGCTGAGGACAATTCCGAAAATATTGATATTCGCCAGAATTCGAAACATCTGTCTGTGGAAAAAGGTTTGAGTTTCATGTACTTAATGTGTTAGGTGGTATTGTTCAGATAGAAATATTAATCCTATAGTTATTACATATACTTAGCGAAATTCCAATTAACTCACTCGGAAAGGATTTAATTTTTACCTTATGTTTTGGTTTGCTAGTGATAATACATGGTATTCTTCTGAAACAATCCATAGCCGAAAGACGCAAAACTCCGTATATTCCCATCAGATTTGGCCCTAAAGTGTATGCAGATGAATGAATTTGTTGGGAAAAAAGGAAAGAAAGGCTGGTAGATGCCGACGACACTGGCCCCGCAGTCTAAGGCATGAACAGTCTTTCCCCACTCGAACACTGGGATCGCGGGTTCTAATTCCACTCAAAGCGTGGATATCGGTGTTGTACTGTCCTTTGTGTAGGTAGCGGCCTTGCTACTGGCTGATCCCCTGTCCAAGGAGTCCTAGTGGCTGTATATAGATGAAGAAACTGAAAATTGGCCAAGGTCCACAAGGGCTGTAGAGCCATAGATACATAGGTTGGTAGATGTACTCGTACGTATAGTGATATATGTGTCTTTTATTATGGGAGTTAATGATATTGAACTGTGGAAGTATCTACATCAATCCATATTGGCGCAAAGGAGTGGCGTTTATGAATGGTAAGAAAGGAACAGCTACAACACGACCGCATTGTGACAGCCGTGTACTGAACCTTGGCCCTGTCTGCGAGTGACGTACCACTTGGATCGGAGAATCAAGCACAGTTGTCAGATCTTCATTCCGTCTTAAATCGTCGAAAGGTGCAAATGCAGCGAGGAACAATGTAACATTGGAATGGATCTGGCAAATAAGCACTAGAACTAGTAGCGAGTTTGGCCAGCACGTGACCGTCGGCCAATTGTGTTTGGAGGCAGACAGTGCTGACGTCATTCTCGGCCTGTGCTGTTTGGAACCGGACCCTACAATTTCGGGGAAAATTCTGATTTGAAAAAAAGAGAGGTCTGTTTACCAAATATTAATGATAATAATACTTGATCGTGTTGTGGGTGTATGTTTGTTTTCATAAAAGGAGAGTCGTGGAGGATAACGAAAGTCTGGCGGCGAAAGTATTTAGGCTTTACTTTCGGAAATCGATAGATTTTAGTGAAACTCAGTATACAGCGCGGCTGATTCACTGGCAGTCTTGTTAAGTACCATATTAATATGAATACATTTTGAGGTTTATTTCTCTAAGTAGGAAGCGTGTTGAAGAGAAGTCACACGACCCATAGGTGCGTGTGTTTTGTTTTATACCTCTGGTTCTCAAGATAGGGGGCGCATTCCGAAGTGGTGCTCTTAAGAATTATGGGAATGATCCACAACAACTACCAACTCGTGAACTTTTCTGTATATTTATTTACCTTGTATAATTCTTTAAAAGCCGGTCACAGTAGCCGCGCGGTCTAAGGCATGAACCCTCTTCACTCGCTCTGACGCTTGGATCGTGGGTTCGGATCCCACTCAGGGCATGGATGTTTGGTGTGTGTATGCGTTTATTCTGTGTTTGTGTTGTCCTATGTTTAGGTAGCGGCCTTGCGACTCGCTTTTCGCTCGACAAAAGAGTTCTACCGTCTGTGAAAAATGATTACGGAACCGAATAAGAGGCCAGGACCCTGCATGGGTTGGAAGAGACATTGGAAAAAAAAATCCTTTAAACTGTTCACTTAGCAGTAATTGTGCAGTTCATTTGTCTTAAGTTTCGGTATCCTAAGAATGTAATTTGTGCTCTTGTTATTTTTAGTGAAACTGGCCATTGGTCTCCCCTATTCCCATACAGGCAACAGTGTATTCTGAATCCTGGATGCACTATGGGTCGCTGACGCGGATGGACAGAGCTAGAATGTTTAGCTGTGAAACACATCAAGAAAGCATGAAGTCGAAGTAAATAGTATTTCACGCTGTGTTTGGTGGTAATGAGTAGCTGTCAGGGAGCCACAGTTTCTCAGCATTGTGAATACAACCCTTGTGTAAGCAAATACTTTTGTGCCTCTTGAGCAACTTAGGTACTGTTTACAGCCGCACTCTCGCTAAGGCCATTATTATCGAAATTGGTCTGATTAAAGAAAATAAAGTGTTTCCCTTTATAAAAACAAGGCAGTTTGCTGTAATTTCGCCGAAACAGTTTTGAACGGTATATCAGACCAGTGAAGATTCAATGGTTCTGTAAAAATAGAAACGTATTCTTTATATCATGACCCCGTTGAGTCATAACCAAACAGTCACGACTTCAAGTGATATTCTGACACTAGCCACAACGTAGGAAAGATGTTGCAGAAGGGCCAATTTATAACGCTTTCTTTCTGTTAAGACCCTAGTCAGTATATTCGAACACAACTAACCAAGACCCAACTGTGTTAGATAAGTAACACTTCGTTTTCGTTCTGTCTTGAATTAACGTATTTCTTGTATGATCTCCTGTTAAATAAGGCTTAATTGTAATGGAAATGTGTTCTTGACCTGTAATTTTAATATGACAGAACAGTTAATGTAGGAAGACTTATTAAGTATTCAGGGCCGCGCCATAGCTCAAGCGGTTAGTCGCTGGCTTCCCACCACGGCGGCCCGGATTCGATCCCGGGTCTCGTCAAGTGGGATTTGTGGTGGACAAAGTGGCGCTGGGGCAGGTTTTCTCCGAGTACTTCGGTTTCCCCTGCCAATCTTCATTCCACCATTTGCTCTAAAATCACCCTCACCTATCATCTGGGGCTGGTACAATAGGCCAGAAGTGGCCGCAGTACAAGGGACTTAATCCCACCCCACTAGCACTAAAAAAATATTAAGTATTCAAAACAGATGTGGGTAAAATTTCTTTGCTTCACGTAGAAGATAGTGAATTTGTCTTTGAAGCATTGTGCGCTGAGATGTGCGTTTGGGTTTCCTTGCAGTATCCTTCTCATAATTGATGGAATCGTGGTCATTACACTGCAAGAAGTAGCAAGTGCTTTGCAGTCACTTTTCTGTAAGCATAGTTTGAAGATTCTGCAATGTATAATATTGTTGTAAAACCAAGAGGAGCTTAATTTTCACGTAGAAAAGTAATAATTGGTTTAGGTAGCAACTTTGTGCAGTGAAACTAAAAGAAGAAGAAGAAGAAGAAGAAGGAGAAGAAGAAATAGAATATCACTTAAATGCCCAGTAAAATATTTCTTGGAACAGAAAGTCATTTAACCTGAAACTGCTTCTTATTGAAAAAAAAAAACAACTAAAATCAGGAATGCAGAGTAGAAATTGAATGTTAAGAGTGGAACATGAAAAGGGAGAAGAGTAGGTATGTAATGGAAAAATTGTCCACTTGAATATTTGTAGTTCGTATGCTGTGCTTTCTGTAATTCATCGAAGATGGACAATTCCTACAATAAAATGGGATGCAATTAACCCTGGTCAGTAGTAGAAGTATGTGCAGGATACCTTATTGTACTACTGCAAAAAAACGAGGAAAGAAAACTGAAAACGCCTTCTGCTCCGTTACACTGTAGCTGTGTGTATAGTGCGTAAGAGGCGTGACTTGTTGACTCATGATTTGGATCATCTCCCTCACACTTTCTTCCTTCTGTTCATCAGCTTTTATGCTGGCCACTGATTTGGACCTTAATCTCATAAATACTCGTACAGGAGACGCCAGTTCTGAAAGTACCTGTATTAAATGGAAACCTGTCTAAAGTGTGGAAAAGCTTAGGTCATTTCATGTTCCGTTGTATGTATGTTTTAATATACCGGTACCTGCGTTGTGTTTTATTTTGCCAAGGTCATGGGGTCGATTCCCGATGTTATTGGATTTTTCAATTGACGTAATCCTTCCAGCCGCACTATGGCCCTGGGGCCGACTCAGCGCCTAACAGTAATGAGTGCCAGGAATCTTTCTGGGGTTAAAGGGCGGCCGGCGCGTAAGGCTGACAACCTTACCGCCATCTGTGAGCCGATTGTCTAGAAAATGTGGGAGCCTCGACGTCACAGAACCTTATGGGACTCCAGGACTTGTTAGAGGGATAGATTTATTTTTATTATTATGGTCTATATTTGGTATTGAAGAGTTCAGTCTTTTGGGACATAATGCCGGATAGTCCCATGAAAATCAGCTGCCGTTTCGGCGCCTCCATCTTCAGGGTTGAAAAATAATCAAAGGAAGAAACGAGTAAGAAGCAGGTGGAGCCCTGCTTTCTTCGTGTTGGTTTCTTGCTTGACTTTTCGACCCTGAAGATGGAGGCGATGTGTTCCTCTGAAACGTCGGTTGACTTTCTCCGGATTGCATGGTCTTTGTTGTGGCCCTTCATAGCCATGACTGTGAGAAGCTGAAATCAGCTTGCTTTGTATTGTTTCAGCTGAAGAAGCAACAACAGCTGCAGCAACAGATTCTGCTGCAGCACTTTCAAGCACAGCAAGCGCAGCTTGCGGAACAACATGAACAACAGTTGCAACAACATCTCAAGGTATAAGTGCAGCTTTGTTTACCCTTGTGTCCAATGCAAATCTTTGTAACTGGAAAGGTCTGAAACATTGCACTGTGAGTCGTTTTGACTTTTCAGTATATAATGCTGGAGCACATAATCTCAATAAAGGCGCTTGGAGGGGGTAGTGGAGGCGAAAACACCATGCCATAAATGAGATGCTACATATGTACGTTGTTATGAATGAAATGATACCTGTACCAAACCCCATATTTTTAGAACGATGCAATGTTTGTATTGAGTTATTACTGTTCTGCTGAACTGTCTTTGAGCACATGGTTGCAATTTTATAATTGACTATATACGTTGCTGATGAAAAAAAAAATGATCGACCTTGGCTGTGATTATGTTGATTAGAGTCCAGATGCAAGTATAGTGTGACAGAAATGTGGTGAAACCAATCGTGACTTTTATTGCTGACAAGTACAGCTACTATCGTTATAGGTGCTTAAACTTTATTGATTGATGATAGACCCAGTTAGAGGATACAAAAGAAACAAACTCCGTGTTTTAGTCCGCAAGCGAACTATACCGACCGAGCGACCGCTGCCTGTCGGCGAAGTTAGTGCCAACTTTAGCGGATAGAGGGTGTCGTGTGATCAGCGCAACGAATTCCCACGGTCGTTAATTTCGGTTTTATAGGGCAGAGCCGCTATTTATTTGAAGTAGCTCCTCACTTATCCTCACGAGGCTGAAAGGACCCCGTTCCAGACGCACTACTTGTCAGAAAATGTGGTAGCGCCGGGAGTCGAAACCGGACCTCTGGATCTGTAGCCAGGAACTGACCACTAGACCAAAGCGGCGGCCAGTTAGAGGATATCGGTACATAATTGTACAAATTATCAGCTTAATTGGAATTTTTTCAATTGGAAATTGTTTCATAAATGCAGTTGTGCTCTTTAAATGGTTCAGTTTTTATGTAAAGAGGTATCACACTTATCCGCAGTTTCAGTTTGCTTGGTTTTATTTTTTTATAAATCGGCACCGCGATGCGCGAACAACTCAAAACACAGGTGCGCTCCACGCCGCGTATCGTTGACGTAGGCACTTCACCCAGCCGGACAGTCTGCAGTTGCAGGTCATGCAGCGGCTGTAGAAAAGGGTAATTGTAGGCTGTTTCTTAAAAAAAAAAGGTAATCATAATGGGCATACATGGGAACAGTGATGGAAGTGCTACTAGTGGCAAGAGGGAACGCAAATCCGTTGCTCTTGACGAGAAATTATAAATCTGATCAACAGGTATGAAAGTAATGAATGCAAGGTTGGCATGGCCAGGGCCGCGGGAATTCCCGAATCGACCGTATAAACCTTATAAGGCCGAAACATGCTGTATAAAATATTAAAATAGTGAATGAAAATGTGACAATGTGGCAGGAGCTATGCAGCCGTCGAGACACTACGAAAGTTGCATTAGTAAGACTGAGAAGACGTCACAAATTAGGGCGAAGATATGGGAGAACTGAAAATAATGCTTCATTGGTGGATTAGGTCCTCTGCCCACCATGATCATTCATGCTATGCGAAGAGCTTATTCAGGGCCACCATATAAATCACGTAGAATCCGCAGGTTTTTACTGAGACATTTGCTTCTGTAGAATCACGAAAAGTTAGTTTGTATTTTAGCGGCCTCCGTAGTCTAGGGGTAACGTTCCCACCTCATGACTCAAGGTACGCGGGTTCAAACCCGGCGGAGGTCGTGGAATTTTTAAGGGCGGAAAAATTGAGGGAACAAGTCCTCCGGGAGGGACTTTAAGCCGTGGGTCCCGTGTCGTAGATTTACGGCACGTAAAAGATCCTCATGTCTCTAGGCACAAAGAGGCAAAATGTTCCCCACCCAAGTAGTTTCCAGTGCCTCCGGTAGATGGGGAAAGTTATCGGGTACCAATGCCAGTAGAGGGCCGACCTCGCTGGCAGAATGGGGAGAGTTATCGAGTACCACTGCCAGTAAAGGGCCGACCTCGCTGGCAGAAATGGGAGATAGCGGGCACCAGTATTGGTAGGGTATGGAAACAGTAGAAATTAAAGTGGGACGTACAATAGACTATTAGTCGCGGTGCAAGGGGAAACCCAGCCCCTCTATGCTGAATAACTGAATAGTTTGTATTTTTAGTTATTATAAGAACAACAACAAACAATTGCCATAACCGAAATTTGTTGTTACTGATAGGGACCTTCACATTTTGATTGCCCCACAAGTATAAATCTGACACCGGGTTTGTTCGACAAGCTGAATGCTTTTGACCCAGAGTGCTGAATGGTTCGAGCTTTGTAAAAGGGTTCAGTGGAGTTTATAACTTAACAGAAGGCAGTTCCCAGTCTTCGGTCTTACAGCCTTCAACTTTTATGGAGGAGCCTTCCCAGCCTGGCCTTTCCCCCAGTATCTTCATCCCTGCCACCATTTAGGGGGTCCGATTAATTTTCGTAAATTGTAAAATAAATATTATATATTAATAATAATTGAAAGTATTGTGACATATTCAGGGTCTGCGTGATGAATAATAATGGGTTCTGTATTGGATGATTGGATTTACACATATCAGCAGTCAGTGACTGCTAAAACAAGTGGCAGTGAAAATTATCAGATATTTTTTGTAACATATGACCATAGCTGTTCAAATATTGCCCAATTCCTTTGCCCACTCAACCCTTACGATAGCTTTTATTCACAAATCTTGTAGCAGAATGGTGCTGAATGAAGTAACTTTCTGGTTAATGTGTTCTTGACAGGCAGTTGCAGCCATTCTGTTCAGAAGGGTAGTTCTTTATTCGGCATGCATGGGTTTGAGTCCAGGCTGTGGAACCTCCCATAAAGATAACATTGAATATATGCCTATATTTTCCCTTCTAATATGCAGCTTTCTTACACGTATTGTAGAGATGTGGAACATGCTAAGAAGTAGGCAGTAAACATGAAATTTCATATTTAGCAAACTTTAATTCCATGTGGAGAAAGAGAATAGTCTTAGAAGATTACCATGCTGTTTAGGTATCTGTCTGTCTGTGCAAGTTTTGAGCCAGGAGACCGATTTTTTTTTAAAGTTTGCTATGGACGTTATGCCATAAAAAGTCACCCCATTATCATACTTCTGAATTTCTGCACCTTGCAGTAACAACATGTCAGATATACAAACTTGTGAAGTGTGAGCCATACTACCACCACTTAATTTGAGGTGCAGAAATAATGTATAATAATAATTCGTAGAAAGATATGTAGCGTTTGTTAAGGAAATATTTTGTAGAATGTGAAACAGAATGGCAGCAGCATGAAATCTATATTTAGCTTCAATTAGATGGCAAAAACTAATGAACTGTTCGAGATGGGCTTGTTAAATTTAGTACAGAGATAGATCGTAGACATACCCACAGCTTATGTATGAAATATTTTGTATAAATCAACGGTTACAAACATGGCAGTAGTTTAAAACTATGACGTTTTGTTCTGCTAATTTCACATAGAACAGTATCTATACTTAAGTTCTTACAAAAATATAATAAAAATATTTTTATGAGATAGAGTGACTATAGATAGGTTTTGGATTGAGTTCTGGATTTATTGGAATCTTAAACAACTTGTTACAGCACTTCACAAACCACTATAGGACACAGTAGGTCTTCTCAGTCTGTTACAGTCTTCACTAGCCGTTGCTTGGTAGTGACTTTCAACGGCAGACATTCCCCTTCCTCTCGGTTCCCAAGCTGTCCCCAGCCTCAGCTACCAGCCTGTCACTGCAACACCTCACAACAACTGAACGCCATTAGTTATTTAACTCATTCATTCCCTGACTCAGCAACCAACTCCTCACTAACTGACTGATTCACCAACCAACCCACTCCACTGAAGCCAAAATTATGTTACGATGCATGGCCAGTCAGCTAGTCTATCTCGGTATCAAGCACCCATCTGGGGCCCAAGACCAGATTTTTATTACTATCAGACAGTTGTGGGTTTGTTGATGCGGGACACCCTGTCTGATGAGAGGATGGGTCTGTTTGCAAATGCTGCTGGGCCTCACCAGAGCGGTCATTCTCGTGTCCAAGTACCGCGATACTCTTGACAGTATTTAACTCTCGAATTCAAGACTGTCCCAACGTGGAGGGCCAGGTACCCATATTTACATCCCCCAGGAACATGGTGGCCCAATTATACCCCCAGTCAGTGGATTCCCTTTTCATTGCCCCCCTATGACTTGCAGGGAGATATTCAAACCTGCCTCCACGCAAGGACCTCCTACTCACTGGCTCTAGTCTCTCATTATTTAATCTTGGCACAGACTACATAAAAAGTACAATTTCCAGCCATCTCTTTTGCTGTTGTGCAAGTATCTGTTTCCACAGATTCATGTTTACTGAGTCATCATAACCAAGCAATGTCCAGTCTGACTGTAACATTTTTGTACACATTAGTATGAAAAAGACAACAGACATTCATTCACTATATATGGTATTGTAAAAATGAATAAGAATTAAATCTGTCATTGTTTGGTGTCTCCTTATCTTATGTAGCCCTAGTGAGAAGTCATCCTCAGAATCAAATGTGTTCCAATGAGAATTTGTGTACTAACTGATTTCATATTAGACTTGCAGTTGCTGCTGCTGCTGCTGCAAGTTTATTGTAATTGACTATATCCTAGTCCTAATTAGAGAGACTGTAGCCTAAACTTTTACCCTGGTAGTGATTAGGGTACCAATTTAATTGCAGTTGTTTCTACATTGTTGTTTTTTCAGAGACAGGACTAAGGCATGAATGAGAGAATATATTAAAGCAAAGTTAAATAAGTAGGATGTTATCAGTGAACAGTATGAATCTTCAGGTTCCTCATCTAGACAAAATTTCTTTAGCCATTGAATCCCTATGAAATTGAAAGGCTGTGTAATCACATTTATATGGTTCTAAGGCAGAAATTTATAACCACATTCATGAACAAAAGAATTTTTTTTATAACAACATAGTACTTGTATTTTAAATAGCACTTTGTTTGGATGTCCCACAATGTTGGATTAGATGTGTAAAACAAAAGAACATTTAAATTTATTCAGGATAGCTGAATATAATGTGGGAAGATTGAAACAAAATTAACTTTGAGTATTTTCTGATACAGTTTAGGTGCATGTAGTCTTTCTCACATTTCTTTGTTGCTTTTTCTGTCATCTCAGTTCTGGAAGTGACCCGGGGTTTATTTAATTGACTGCTCTGTTCCTTGTCACAACAGTTGTTCCAGTACAGTAGTTAGAATCTCACATTCAGCAGGCAACAGTGGAACTCAGCTTGTGTTTCAGTTTTTGTATAGCCTTGAAAGAAAAGTACACAGATTATTACTTTACATTCTGTTGGAAACACCAGTGTATGACCTTGGTTTTATGTAACAGTATTTTGTTTGAAACATTCTCAACTAGTTGATGGATAACACCCAAGACAAAATTTTTAAGTACATGTAATTATAAATAATCTTTACCTTTCTGAAAATGTATTTAAGAACATCAAAGTACACAAACTGAACTTTCAGAATATAAACAACAAAATTTATAGTTGCAGTGTATAGTTTTTCAGTTCAGCTGCCTGTGTTCTTAGGAGTCATGAAAGCTAACCAGTGGCTGTAGTTCAAATATTTCTGAACTAAGTTTAGGTCAAACCCAGGTTATTATTGTAATCTTGTGGGTTATAACATCATTTAGTCTGGTAGGTGAGTGCCTTCCTACCAGACTGAATGGTGTCAACCCAGAGGACTACACAGTGTGAATCTCCACTGCCAAGGACACCTCGTATCTTATTCGGTTTACATGTGATGCAAATAAATTGCAGACTCTGGTTGTATAGTAACAGAAGTTGAAGCTCACTTCTGTTATTAGGGAGATGGAAGAAAATAGTTCATGAAGATCAACAGGTTACACTAACTGGGAACACTAGTGTACTCAGCCAGCAATTTTGGAAATTATAAGAATGTTTCCTGCAAGATAAGTGTTAGATGTTGAAACATTAATGAAGCTTAAACTGGATATGGAATGATATAAGTGGGCTGAGAAAGTGGCCCCTGTATTTCTTGACTGGTGACTTTTTTGGAGGGGTGGCATGTAAGGAGGTCTGTCTGCACCCTTCCACTGTCTCATGTGTATGAACAGTTGATGGCAAAATGTTGTTCAGTGTGTGAATTATTATAAATTACCAATTTCACATATTCAACTTGATCAGTGATTTTCATATTCAAACGTTTAAATATTATTAAAACTCGAATATTGTTCTTTTGTACTAAAGCTTTAATTTTTGTTGGCTGGTTTGATATTTGAGAATAAATTGTCAGATATGTAAAGATAATTATCACCCTCTACTATGTTTAAGGACTTTAAGGTGATTGCAAATTTAATGATGTTTGTGTTCCTGTACTGCAGTTGTTATTAGAGCCAAGTATTGCAATTGTATTTATGTTTACTCCTTGATTTTATAGTTCTTTCATTATATGCAATTTAAATTCTTAAATGCTGAGGAGGACTAAAACTGCCATAGGTAGTTAGTCATTGAAGTTAGTCATTGATTTTTTTTTTCATTAATCCATTCTTTGTCTTCTTTTCCTCTTTACACCCACTTACTCCAAGAAGGCAGAGAAAGCAGCTATGCGATTTCATCGACAGCAGGCTATGGTAAGCTGAAGTCTTAAATTACAATCTGGCAAATGCCCGGATATATTTACTATAATAGAAGACCTTCTTACATGTAATGCTTGACAGATTTGTACATAAACTGATCCACTGTTTCCTGGCTGTTGAATGACAGACAAATAACATGCTTGTTCACCTGTATGGGGTGTGTTGAATGTTTGAGACTGTTTTTATAGTCCAGTAGGAAATAAAGTAGGAGTACCCTTAATTGATAATTAAAATGTACATAGAATTTATACTCTGTTGACACAGGATTACACGATTGCAATGGTGCATGCATGTAGTTCAGCTGGCAAGGCATCAGATTTACTTTTTCAGTACATGGTAGCATAGTTGGTTGAGGCACTATGCTACAAGCCGGAAGGTCACGGGTTCAATTCCCAATGAGGTCGTTGGATTTTTCAAATGACCTTACACTTTAAGATGCACTGTGGCCCTGGGGTCAACTCAGCCTTTAAAAAATGAGCACCAGCAATCTTCCCAGGGGTAAAGGATGGCTGGTGCATAAGGCTGACAACCTCACTGCCATCTGTGAGCCCGTTGTCCAGAAAGTGTTGGAGCCTTGACATCTCACAACACTATGGGCCTCCAAGGTCTGTTACAGGGATAGCATTACATCATTTATTAGTACCATTGCCTGAGTTAAAAATCTACCACCAGCCTTGTATCAAAAGAAACAAACTCCGTGGCTTTAGTCCACAAGCGAACTATACCGGCCGAGCGAGCAACACTTGTCGGCGAAGTTAGTGCCAACTTTAGAGGACAGAGGGTATCGTGTGGTCAGCGCAACGAATTTCGGTTTTCTAGACCAGCAGCCATGTATCAGGGATTTTAAAATTCTCTACCCCCAGGTGATAAAAGATGCGAACTGATGGTTTTAGTATTGAACCATTAGTTGGCTGCGCCATAGCTCAAGTGGTTAGTCACTGGCTTCCCACCACAGCGGTCCGGGTTCGATCCCGGGTCTGGTGAAGTGGGATTTGTGGTGGACAAAGTGGCTCTGGGGCGGGTTTTCTCTGAGTACTTCGGTTTCCCCTGCCAATCTTCATTCCACCAAATTCTCCATCATCATAATCACCTGGGGCAGGCTACAATAGGTCAATCAGTGGGCACCTTGCCAAGTGCACCCAGTTGGACTCCACCCCCCCACTAAGCCAATTGAACCGTTATTACACATAGGGCTGCAGTTGCTGCCATTCATGCATATTAAAGGCTAACTTATAGTGCAGTAGCACAACATATGATATAAGTGCCAGACAATTAGTGTGTTATGTTTGATTCCAAGATTGAGTCCTCTTTCCAAGGATGTTGAAAATTTACATTAATAAATACCATTTGTCTCATTAGAGGGAGTTAATTTTTTTAAAATAAAAATATTAAATAGAATTTCCAGTTACATGAGAACAGAGCAGTATATCCAGTAGTCTTCAGCATATATTTGAACATTATTGCCTTAATTGGTGGCTGGCATGCTGGAAATAATAAGGTAAACACTGGGTTTTGGTAGGATAATGCTGGTTACATATACATTCAAAAGCTGTTTTCAGCAAAATAAATTTTCTTCTTTATGTTACAGTAGCTCTGGTAGGTAGTGTCCTGTAATATGCAGGCACATTTCAGAGTGATGTAGCAGATCTTGTGACACATGTTGAATTTGTAGAATAACTTCTCAGATTTTGAAGTGTTAAGCCTTCACTGTGTATGTGTTATTTATGTAAACTTTCTGATTCTGGTCTGTCCCAAAAAAAATCACATTGAGATCGAGGGAATTTATGACAGTGCTCTACCAATTAGTCACTCATCAAATAGAGTCCATTTAGTAGTGGTGTGAATTAACTTTATCATGAAATGACATGGCACGTATTATTCTTCTGTCATTTTTAGCTTACTCTGTAAAGGTTCTTAGCTCAATGGTGATTTCATACATGCCCACTGCCACCTGGCTCCGAGAATGTTTCAGTGTGATGCCAGTAACTGTTGGATGTATTACTCTGTATATTCTGTGTTAACATTTTTCATATTCTTGGCATTTGCATAATTTTGGACAAGAAAATGATAGTCACAAAAGCATAAATGTGAAATCCTGAATGCTTACATTCAGTTTGCTTTTTCATATGCAACTCCATTAGTGGTGTTCAGGGCTTTTCATATAAGATTTGCATTGGACTGACTGGTCTCAGAATTTCACACAGAACTTGGTATGTTATAAGTTTCTAACAGCTGCCTTATTTCAGTCCTGACTGAGGAGATTCTGCAGTGTCTCCCTCATTCCCCGGATGATAATGCCATATTTGTAACCTGCTTTATCCTCCTGCCTTCCTGATCCAGTTTCCATGAACATCATAACGCAGAACATGATCCTGGTAGTTAAAGCAGTATTCTTTCTGTCTTTCTGCTTTACTCCCATGTAAAATAATATCCTAACATGGAGCACTTGTAAGTGTCCGATACATTGGAGTTTGGCTTCAAATTTTAGCACTCTCACCTCGTCTCTGTGCACCTGCGTCCATTTTTTTTTTCATTGGCGCTACAGCCCTCATTTGGGCCTAGGCCTACCTCCATGAAACCCTCCGTTTCACTTCGGTTTACTAGATCTTAGACATACGGTAGGACTCCTTGGGCGGGTGATCAGCTCATCGCAAGGCCTCTACCTGTACACAGACACAGATGCACACAAACATCCATGCCCTGAGTGGAATTCGAACCCACGATCCCGGCTTCTGAGCGAGCGAAGACAATGCATGCCTTAGACCACTTGGCTACCGTGACCGACACCCTCGTCCATATGCCCATATTAAAATTCACACTTCAAAGGTTTTTTGTCTCTTCTTCTCATTTGTTTAACACTACATGTTTTGGCCTAACTGGCCATCATCAGGTGTATTAGACTGTAGATGGAAACTGTTGCTCTTTTGTTATGCTGTTGCATTTTACAATTAATATAAAATGTGTATAAAATAGGTTATTTTTTACGTTATCATGCTATAGTTACTTTTGTGGTGCACTCATGTTGTGGGTCTGGTTTATGTTTTTTGGTGTGCTGGTTACTTTCCTTTATGCTGTGTGTAGACAAAGATCCTTTGAAGTGTCAATTTTAATATAATGACAAAGTCGCACAGAAACTGAAATTGGAATGCACAGTGCAGCAGGATGCGGCAATACAATATTATGAACAGTGTGGCTTGCTTGGTTATAGGTTGAAATCCCACCCAGAACACACGAATGCATGTTATTTCATCTTTGTTGCTCATCCTGCTATAGAGTATCTTATTTAACAGTATGCTAGTTTCTATATGCTGCTACAGCAAGCATGGCACTTTGTGTGCTGTGCAGGAAGCTTGTCCTAGCAGCATATGGAGAATAGTGTGCTCTTAAATTAGATACCCTATATATCCTTATGAATGTTAGGTAGTATTTTGATATATATATAGCACAATCATCCTGAATTGCATTCAGTCTCCCACTTTCAGGTTTCCCCATTAAATAACTCATATTACTCGCTTTCACCTGTCCAGCCACCCCATACATGGTTAAATGATGTGTAGTAGCTTCAGAGTGTTCTAGGACAGACACAAATAGACCAACATCGTAGCAGGTAGGCTTAAGTCCGCTTGTGCATGTCTCAGCATATGCATCATGTATACAGGTCAGAATTGTTGGCTTGCCATTGAATTCGTGATCATGATATGTCACAGGAGTAAGTGCAGTTTGTGGGAGGTTCCAGAGTGTGGAGATAGATCTCTTCAAGCACTGAACTTATGTAATATTTTGCCATTCATTGAAAACATTGGTGATGGAAATGTTGCTGTTGCTTCAGGTGGTATATGGTAAACATTTTCTTGGTTGAAGGTGTTCAAGTGAATTACAGGTTTATGGACTGTCATATATTGCTGGAAGCTGACCTGCAGATGGCTTGCAGCAGTGGAGAGAAGAACATTGCAAGACAGAAACAGTACATTTTGTCTTCTTATCATCACCATATGGAATGATAGAGATGATTGAATAGGAATCTGTAATTTCAGCTGGTAATTGACACGCCATTCTCAGTAAGAATCCGAAGATATTGTGCTTCACTGACACATACCGAGAAACAATGCGATGAGTACTTGGTGATCAGGGATGTGCTTATCAGTGCTTCAGATAATCCATATTTCCTGTTAAAGATAATCACAGGTGACACAGCCTAGTTTTTCTTGAACGATTCAAGAAGTTTTTGCAGGATTGCTCAAGAGAATTTGATTTTGGAAGTCTTCTCCAGTTTTCAGGACAGTGTGTATCAAAGGGTTAATTTGGATGTTCCAGTAAGAAGAGGTACAAGGAGATGCTTGCCCACACAGGCATCACTGGAAGCATCCCAGAATTTGGTGTGCTGCAAGACAGTGCCCTGGTATGGCACCCACTGTTTGTGTACCAGGAGCTTGCTGTGCATGGTACTTGGCTGCTTCTCCACTTCTGTAGTCTCCTGATCTTGCACCATATGATTGTAACCTCTTTCAGCAGATGGAAGGCATGTGAAGGGGCTTTTGCTTTGAGGAGCCAGTGGTGCATCAAGTGGCTTTGAAGAGTGTGTTGCAGCAGATTGTACTTTGTGGCTTTCAGAAATGTATTGTTATATACAAACACTAGCAAGCGGAATTTTGAAGTAACTGTGTTGAAGGGATTCTTTGTGTCACCAGATTTTAGACGGGCTCATGTTGAAGCTATGGTATATAGAAAGGATTTTGGATGTGAAAATTTTGTACAGATCACACATTCTTTCTGAGTTAAGTCAGTGACAGTGTAATGCTTTCAGGCTTTTCATCCACTGTACTTCAAGTTTTTTAAAAAATTATGTTACTGTGTTTTTCAGGAATGTGAAACTTTTCACAAAATAATAATGAAATTTTATTTACAGTGCATTCAAGTGTATAGTTTCTCCACACAATATCTAGTGATCCTCAGATAGTGATTTGATACAACAGGATTATAAATTTATTGCAGGTATTCCACAGAAATAAAGTTAAATTTTATAAGCAGTGAATTTGAGAAGTTGGAAGCTGGTGAAGGAATTCTGTTTTCAGTTAAGACAAGCATCAGTTGCTCTCTCTTTGTATCGTATTATGTTTTAGAACTATTTGACTTCAGGAATGAAATGAACAATATACATGCATCTTTTTGTATTTGTATAAGGTAAAAACAAAGCAAGCAAGTAACAGGTATAAAGCAGGTTTCTGAAATGTTCTTAAATTCCAGTGGTGAAGCTGAACTCCTAAGAAAACTACGAAACAACATGATACTATGTTCTGAATACATTTCTTCGAAATATGTATATGTTTGTATTGTTTGTTTATATGTTACAAGTAAGTTTTAATCTGATGTCCTGCTCTGACAGCAGCTTATATATAAAAGAACCATTGTAGTGATGTGTTTGCTGGTGCTGTAGTTGAGTTGTTTCTGGACAGGAGTTCTGGGAACAGCAGAAGCAATTGGAAGAGCAGCGTGAACGACGTGAGAAAGAGAAGCTGGAGGCCCTCAAGAAGAAAGATAAGAATGAACACAGTGCCGTAGCTTCTAATGAAGTTAAACGGAAGTTGATGGTAAGCCCATATGATATGCATTAGTACAAGAATAAATGTGAACCTTTTGCGTGGTCGGACCTCTTGACTTGTTTCTATTGTTAGTTAAATCTGAATCTTGCATATGTCAGTTATCTGCAGTCTGACTTCTTGGCTTATTTTTAATGTCAGAAAGTTTGGCGCATACGTGTAAATACTAGAATAAATGTATCAATTTATCTGCAGTCTGACCTGTTGACTTGTTTGTAGTCAATGGGTCTTTTATGCAAATACCAGAATAGATGTGACTGTTATCTGCTGTCTGGCCTTTTGACTTGTTTTTAAAGCCAGTTAGCTTAGATCTCAGATGATATATATTTCAGAATAGAAGTTACATTTGTTTACATTCTGACCTCCTGAGATGTTGTAATGCTGCCTGTGGTGTTTAGTATTAACAGCTAAGGACAGCTAGCAGAAATCCGGGAAAACAAATGTGAAAGAATGTTACAAATATTTATTCACTGTTTTTACAGTTAGGGATGAGTAATTTCTCAGCATGAAAAAGCTGTTAAGTCATATTCAGGTAGCATTTTCACATTTATCGTTACCATATCATGAGAGGAGAGTTTTCATCAGGTAGCAGAATTAGACATGTACATGATAAATATTGACTTGTCCATCACCCTGTTTTTTTTTTATTTCAAAACGTTTTGGAGACTGACCTCTGTCTCTGGCATCGGGTAAAAGCCTGCTCATTTGGGCCCAGTCGTTAGAGCTAGCCCCTTTCTCCGGAGATAAGGACTAGCTCTGTCAATTGGGCTCAACTGAGTAGGATTTACCTGAGAACAAAAGCAGACTCTAGTCTCTGAAACATTATTTTTAAATAATAAACAGGACAATGAATAATGTCCAAAAAGTCAGTAATTGTATTAATATATATTTGTCTCAAACTTTTATATTGTATACATGATCATATTCTAAGAGGAACAATGCACCTCTTTGTATTACAGTCAGCGGTTTTAGTTGCTGTCTTCTCAGTAAATNGGGCGGGATCCTGTATGGAATGTGGGTTGTACTGTTGGTATATTGGTGACAGTTATTTGGATTAGAGTCAGTTTTAACTACAGCATTGTGCTTCAGCTACATGGACTCCAGGTTAGTGTCTTATTTACCAGATACTTTTAGTTCTTGGTATGGGTTCAGTCTAGCAGCACTGTCTATAGACTTCACCAAGTGGAAATGACAGGTATTGTATTGACTCGTTTGAGTGAATGCTGCCTGAAAGCAAGAGAATATAATTTGTCTTCTTTTTATGTAAATTACAAATTTTGGGTTCTTAATACCATCCTTTTGATACACTTTCACTTAAATGGCTGTAAGACATTCTGCCTAGCAGCCATTATCAACAGTAAAGTAAACAGAGGGGACCCTGTGGCCAGACAGAGAAATGTATAGTGATAATTTCTCATTCATGACTCAAAATATTTCAGTCATTATTGCTGTGTATAAAGTTTAATTGTATCTTTGTAGTGATGAGGTTACAAACGGTTGGATTTATTATTTCCTTGTATGTCTTCATGACTTGGTGTTTAGTCACAGGGACAGCTTCACCTCTTTGATTCTTGAGCACTGTTTTGCAAACAGTACATTTCTGTATGCAGTGTAATAGAAGTAACTATTTGCATTTGTTTGGTCCTCTTTCTGTTGTTGTAGAAATACATAGTGATATATTTAAATAGTAATTGATTTTGGTAATTCAAGTATGCTCTGTTGAAGAAGCTATGAAAGTTAATGTGATTAATTACATATATCTAACCATTCCAGATTTAGTTGTTATATTGTATGAATGATGTTAGGGTATAGAAACTGAAAGATCAGTAAAAGAAGTTTTGAAGTGAAGGAGATCAGGCTGTTAAAGAATGATACCCTATTCAAGGTGTTAGTGCCGTGACACATTTAATGAAATGAATAAAGTGAAATATATTATCATATTCCACCTACAAAATTGGTATCAGCAGTACATGAATACAATAGCCATATTGAAGAAATGTGTAAACATGCTGTAAGCTATTGAAGATAAATTGCAAAATTTGTGAAATACAAGCAGCATACAAAAATTGTTACTGGACACTGAGTAGTCTGTTTAAGATTGAGATGAGGTTTTCCATTGTTGGTGCAACATAAGTGAGATATTATTATTTGTAACACATTACATGCATGTGTGTGTGTGTGTGTGTGTGTGTGTGTCATACTGTACATATCTCCTTGTTGCATCCACATCTGTTCATGTGTTAAGGGGTTAGCTCAGGATACGGAGCAAATTACCACCAGTTTGAGAAAATAAAGACTTTGTTTTGCTTTGTGTACCAAGAATAATTCTTTTCAAATTAAAAAGTATTTCTAGAAATGTTAGATATGGAGATGCTCACATGAACTTTTAGTTGGCCGCGCCATAGCTCAAGCGGTTAGTTGCTGGCTTCCCACCACGGCGGCCCGGGTTTGATTCCATGTTTGGTCAAGTGGGATTTGTGGTGGACAAAGTGGCGCTGGGGCGGGTTTCCTCTGAGTAATTTGGTTTCCCCTGCCAATCTTCATTCCACCAAATTCTCCATCGTCATAATCACCTGGGGAAGGCTACAATAGGTCAGTCAGTGGCCGCCATGCTGTGTGGACCCAATTGGACTCCCCCCACTAAGTGAATTAAAAAAAAAAAATCTTTTAGTTTGAATGGGCAATGATGGGTTACTGAAAATTCTGACTTTCCTTGGGGGTAAAGCGGCCGGGGCATGAAATCTGACTGCTCACCTCAAATTAGGGCCAAGGTCAAGAATACATGGATCTCTAAATCTGCTTCCCCCGTATGTCTTTATGGTAAAGGTGAAAAAGGTAAAGAGATAAAGCTATTCCTGTAACAGTCTGTGGAGGCCCATAGGGTTGGAAGACATTGAGGCTTCCATATTTTCTTGACAGTCAACTCACAGATGGCAGTGAGGTTTTTAGCCTTATGCACTGCCTCCCCTTTACCTCCAGGAAGATTCCTGTTACTCATTTCTGTCAGAGGCTGAGTCAACCCCAGGGCTGTAGTGCAGCTTCAAGGATTAGGTCAACTGAGAAATGCAATGACCTCATCAGGAATGGAATCTGTGACCTTCTGGCTTGTAGCATAGTGTCTCAACCAGCTATGCTAACACATGCCACCATGTCTTCATGGTGCAGTGCTTAATTAGTTTAGCACAGAGACAACTTTACCTTTTTACTGAATATTCCGGTGCTAGTTTTTTTACATTACTTTTATGAGCAGAAATAACATATTAAAATGGATGAAAGAGTTAAATAGTTCCGTCCAGTGTGACTGATTAAAATTTTCTTATTTCAATTATTTAATTTACTGTAATAACAACACAGCGGGCCACAAACACATACAGGGCAACATTAAAGTAGGACAAAATAACAAAAGTTTTTACAAAACATAATGAGAGTGATGAAATAATACAATATACCCATAATATATTTGCAGAACCCGCTTCTCGAGAACAACAGGGTGGCACACATTCATCCCCCCGTCAAAAGAAATAATAAGAGGGATGACACGAACCCGCTTGGTTTATGAATTCCCATAGAATCTTAACAAACTAACTGTAAATATTTTAAAGTATTGGAACAGCCACTGTAGTTGTAAAGACTTTAGATTTTATACTCAATTGTATATTGTTTATATTTTATGTATATATTTTAACTTTTAGAACATGTACTGTAATGGTGGCTTCTAACTGTATTGATGTAAAGGTGTCCCTCTGAAGTTGGTCCTTGAAGACCAAAACATGTAAGGGCATGAATAACTGAAATAAGAAAATCTTAATCAGTCACACTTGACGGAACTGTTTAACTTTTTCATAATATTAGTGTGATGCACCAGAATGAAACAAATCAAAAACATATTAAAAGTTTTCAGGTTCTGTCACATGTCTCTTGACATTCTGAATTTACTAACATAATTTATCCATATTTTCATAGGCACAGTTTAATAAAAGAGCCAACTTGAATGCTCAGTAAGGAGGCATGTCCCAGATTATGCTTACAAGATATAAATTATAATATCTTTAGCGCTTGACATTTGCTAACACAGTTGGTGTGTATTCTTTCATTTTCATGACAATGGAAACAGCTTAATTATATCTATTTCTTTGTTTTAGGATTTCCTGCAGAAAAAACAGGAAGCAGCAGCTGCTGCTGCCGCCAATGGAACACTGCCTGTTGGTTCTCCCTCTGGATATAGAAACTGGTGAGTTAATAAAAATATCACACTCACATTGGTAGTGGTAGTAGGTTAAGATGAAGCATAATATCAGTACATGGCTTTGAAGCCTGGACTTGAGTTCTCTTTTGAGGTTTGCATTTTATGTGCATTCTATGTTGTACACAGTCAGTGTAACAAATCAGCCATGTGCCATTTTTACACAATGCTTGAAAAGAAATGCTGTGAAGGCATATGGGGGAGTGGATGTGTAGATCTACATTTTCTTGACCTCGGCACTGGCTGGAGGTGAGTGGTCAGCTTCACCCCCTGGCCGCTTTACCTCCGGCGGAAAGAACCCCCAGTACGCATTGGTTAGGGCTTTGGGTGGAAGCCAGAGGCAGTCTGGATGATGTGGAGAAGAGAAAATTCTTGAGCCTACTGGGACTTGAACTCTGACCTCTCGGCCGTCCAGCCTGTAGCCAGTTGCTATACCGACTGTCCTATCCCGGCTCCCTAAATACAAGGAGCTCTGTAAATA